AGATGGCGGAAGTGTCGGAGGATGATGCGTTGGATCCGGAGGTTGGTGGGGTGGTACGTGAGGACGAGGGGGATTCTTTTTTGGTTTTTATTGCGTGGACGGGGTGTGAGGGATGAGGTGCGGGAGATGTGGGAGACACGGTTGAGGGCGTTCTCGACCACCGAGGAGGGGAAGTTACGGTCCTTGAAAAACGAGGACAACTGAGATGTACGGGAGTGGAATGCCTCATCCTGGGAGCAGATGCGGCGGAGGCGAAGGAATTGGGAATAGGGGATAGCATTTTTGCAGGAAGGTGGGTGGGAGGAGGAGTATTCTAGGTAGCTGTGGGAGTCGGTGGGCTTGAAATGAATATCGGTTTCGAGGTGGTTGCCCGATATGGAGACAGAGAGGTCCAGGAAGGGGAGAGAGGTGTTAGAGATGGTCCAGGTAAACTTAAGGTTGGGGTGGAAGGTGTTAGTGAAGTGTATGAACTGTTCGAGCTCCTCGTGGGAGCACGAGGCGGCGCCGATACAGTCATCAATGTAACGGAGGAAGAGGTGGGGTTTAGGGCCGGTGTAGGTACGGAAGAGGGATTGTTCCACGTAACCTACAAAGAGGCAGGCGTAGCTTGGGCCCATGCGGGTACCCATGGCTACCCCCTTTGTCTGTAGGAAGTGGGAGGAATTGAAAGAGAAGTTGTTGAGTGTGAGGACGAGTTCGGCTAAGCGGATGAGGGTGTCAGTGGAGGGGGACTGGTCGGGCCTGCGGGACAGGAAGAAGCGGAGGGCCTTAAGGCCATCTGCATGGGGAATGCAGGTGTAGAGGGACTGGACGTCCATGGTAAAGATGAGGTGTTGGGGACCGGGGAATTGGAAGTTCTGGAGGAGGTGGAGGGCGTGGGTGGTGTCACGGACATAGGTAGGGAGTTCCTGGACCAAGGGGGAGAAATGATTTTTCAGTGTTTGTGCTGTCAGATTTTTTTTGATAAAACATTAAACTGAAGCCCAGTCTGCCCTGTCAGGTCAATGTGAAGTATGCCGTCGAACTGTTTTGAAGAGCAAGGGAATTATATCTGTCCAATGTAGCAAAACAGATTATCCGATCGATATCATTATTGATGTTTGTGGGAGCTTGCTGTGGGAAAATGGTCTGCTTTGTGTTTTCCACTTAAGTATATTGCCTGAGTTACAAAGGACTTGAGGTCTTCCTTGAGTTGTTGAAAGGTGTTTTGAAACTAGCACCAGGGCATATTTTAAGGCTGAATGATCTGCTTAACATCTGTCTGTGTGACTTACAGGTATGTTTGCCCCAACTCAAAGAACAGAAGGAATCTCCACATCAGATATCATTACCAGGATTGTGCGGGATTATGACGTATATGTGCGTAGAAATCTGCAGCGTGGTTACACTGCCAAGGAGCTCAATGTCAGCTTTATAAATGTGAGTAGTCATTCGTGGAGCAGGGAAATCAGGCTCAGAGTTTCATTTCACATGCTCCATGCTCACTTTTGGCATTGGCACTAAAGGTTTTTTTTTTATCAAGTTTTGCCAGCAAAGAATCATCTGAGCCAGTGGTTTGACTTATTATTTATTGTCACTTGCATTTTACAGCAAATATTACCATAAAATAAGTGAAAAGCTTCAACGGTCGCCACAATCCAGTGCCATTTTGAACAGCTTAAGAATAAAAGGGATAAAAGATGTAACTGGAAGACAATCCTGAGCCCCAAGCCAGCTCACCAATGACACCTGTGCCACCACCGCTTCTCCGCCACAGTGATGCCAATGTCGGGTCCTGTGCCCACAACCAGGAGTCCCTGGCTCTGTTGTCACCTCAATAATACTAGGAGTCCTGACTCCGGGCATTACATGCTGCAGCCACTGCCTCGTTAATGCCAGGAGTCCCAGGATCCACAGCCAGACCCGTTCGCCACCTCTGTCTTGCCAAGGGACCTGATCTGGCTGCCCTCCCCCAAGATGTCCCCTTGCCAGCACCGCATCTTGAAAAGTTCAGATGCCTCTGATCGCTGGAAGAGCTTTGCTACAGCTGCCGCTGCTAGCCCTGCTGCCTCTGACCACTGGGAGGAGCTGCCGTTCTGTGCAACGTGTGCTCTAGCTGCTGTGCTGATTTCGCTGACTAACCTGCTGCGAAACGCTCCAAAGGAAAGAGAAATGAAAGAAAAACAAAGAAAGAAGAAAAGCAGAAGTAAAAAGAAAGAGAAGCACGCAGGAGCGGATGAACCCCAGGAAAGAGCCTGCACGGAGCCTTGCTACTCTTTTGCCATCTTCTCACCAACATGACTCTGGTGAAACTGTCTTGAGGAAAAGCCTTGGTCACGATGAGGGCAGAGACAAAGATTTAACAGAGTATATAAAAAGAAACTTTCCCTGGCAGGGGGGGTCAGTAACAAAAGCATGCAGAATTAAGATAATTGGCAAATACAACCCAGGAGAACATAAGAATTTTTATTAGTACACAGTGAGTCGTGATCCAGAATGCATTCCTAAAAGCCTGGTCTCTCTCAATCTGGTGTGCACCCTCGCTTCTGAAATCATTCTCTCTCTTTCTTTCTCTCCCCCACCTCACATGCACCTTCCTCACAATCACATCCTTTTGCACTCTTACTTTCTCTTGTTCTGTTACTTTCTGACTCTTTCTCTCATGTTTTCTGCTTTCCAGGAGAAGAAATACAACTTGCAGGAACGAGTTGATAAAGTGAAGCAGAAAGTTAAAGATGTGGAGGAGAAGTCGAAGGAGTTTGTTCAGAAGGTTGAGGAGAAGAGCATTGACCTGATTCAGAAATGGGAGGAGAAATCAAGAGAATTCATCGGAAACTTCCTGGAGATGTTTGGGCCGGAGGGAGCCTTGGTAAGCATTTTCACAATTAGCAACACAATTCAGTAACAATAAATGTAAGGGTGATTGAGAGAAGAAGAGTTTATTTGATTATTATCAGAATCCCAATTCCTGGCCCCAGGCACTCTGAATGTCTCCAAGTCATTTATTAAACTTTATCCATAAGCAGCGAGGTACAAAAAAAGGTCTGACAAACAGCAAAAACATTTATATAAAAACCAAAAGAACTATGGATGTTGTAAATCAGAAGCAAGAACAGAAATTGCTGAAAAAGCTCAGCAGGCCTGGCAGCATCTGTGGAGAAAAATCAGTTAATGTTTGGGTTGGGTGACCCTTCCTCAGAACTAGACATTTATATAGTTGAATATTGACTCTTTCTCTGGGAGCAAGGTAAGCATAATCATTTGCAGTTTCTTTGTTTTGTATTTAAAAGAAAGACACTTAGACAGGGCATCACTTTCCTAAGCTCTTCAAATAGATAGAACCTCACCTGGGAGCAGGTAGATTAAATCTGGAGTAATTGAGTAAACTGGACTTATTAGAAGGAAGACAACCTAAAAGGACTATACAAAGGCTTATTGGGTTTTTTTGTTAACAAGGGTGCCACCAAGTAAAATAAAACGTGATGTAAAGGTGGGATAGTAGAGGAAAGAATTATAATTAAATGGGAGATTAAATGTTATGATGAAAAGACTAACTTGCATTTATAAAGCATTGGTCACCTTTGGACTCTTCAAAGTGCTGATTACTTTGAATTATGCTCACTATATTAGTGTAAATAAATAAAGAGAGCACTAAAAGAAATAAGGCCTTTAACAATTAGAGAACATTTATTTTCTCCATATAACTAATTTCAAGTTGAGGCTTTAAAACAGGCTACCTTTTCTTCATTCTTTCATGGAATCAGGGTGCCACTAGGGAGGTCAATATTTGTTTCCCACTCCTATAATTGTCTTGGAAGTGCCTTGCTAGAGCCGCAGTTAAGAGTCAACCACATTGCTGTAGGTTTAGAGGCACATGTAGGTCACACTAGGTAAGGATGGCAGATTTCCTTCCCTAAGAGACATTAGTGAATCAGAAGGATTTTTACAGTTGATCGATTTCATGGCCACATTACTGACATTTTTGAGTCCAGATTTTTAAAATTGTTTGCATTTAAATTCCGCCAGCTGCCATGGCCCAGAGCACTAACTTACTAGTCCAATGACATTGTGACCTTGCCACCATCTCCTTCCCTATACAAAATTACATCCAAACTGGTGAGAATGAGATGTTGACCAATGAAAGCACCTGGTTTGTTGGAAAAGTGCAACGTTTATCTGTTCAATAAGCTCAAGGGAAGAAGGTGGGACTAGTTTGATTTGGGATTATGATCAACACGGACTGGTTGGACTGAAGGGTCTGTTTCCATGCTGTATGATTCTAAATGGATGGAAGAAGACTTGCGTTTAGTTTAAAACCTTTCATCGCCTCAGGATGTGCTGTTGTGATATACTGCCAGTGAAGTGCTTTCTGAAGCACATTCACTACTGTAATGTAGAGAAACATGGCAGCCATAGTAAGATCCCACAAGCGTCAATGCGGCATCAGCTGCTCTGTGTAATATGATAAATGTTGGTTTGAGACACTAAACCAAACTCCACGGCTCCTCTTCCAAATAATAGCCACGGCATCTTTTGTATTGACCTCAGGGCAGAAGATGTCTTGATTTAATCCTAACAGACTGCATCTGTGATACTGCAACAACCGCTGAATACAGCATTGGAGTGTGAGCCTTGATGTTGTCCTTGAGTCTCTGGAATCCGGGAGTCAGAGTGCTGCTTACAAAGCTACAGCTGATCTGTACATGGCTGTACATCCAGAGGTGGAAAATAAAGTCTGGCTTACACTGGAGTGTAGTTGGAGTTAAAGCAAGTTATTTAAGGAACAAAAGGAGGAGGATATGATAGTGGTGTCTCTTGGTGAGAGAAATAAATAAAGTGGATTCAAAACCATAGGAGTGAGATGACCTTTCTCTATGGGGAAGAGGTGGTTGAGAGGATTTGTTTGATATAATCAGATCACAAGGGGTTTAGACAGCATAGACTGGGAGGAGCCATTGGCGAAAGTATTGAGAAACAAAGGGCAAAGATTAAGGCATGTTGCAAAAGAAGCAGTGAATAGATGCAGAATCCCTTCATGTACTGTGTGGTTAAGATCTGTAATGCACTGCCAGAATTTTTATTTCATTATATGCACATGTTGCTGACTGAGCTAGGGTTAATTCCTCATTTCTAATCGTCCTTGAGAAGGAGGTAGTGAGCCTGATGTCTTGAATCACTGCAGCCCATAGGATTTTGACACAGTGACACTGAAGGAACTGTGATATGTTTTCAAGTCAGGATGGTGAGTGGCTTGGAGGGGAACTTGCAGGTGGTGGTGTTCCCAGGTGTCTGCTGCCCTTGTCCTTCCAGGATTTGTCTTTTATTTATTCACGTATGGGACATTGGCATTGCTGGCTGGTCAGCATTTACTGTCCATCCCTACCTGCCCTTGAATTGATAGGCTTGCTAGGCCATTTCAGAGGACAGTGGATGGTCCACCAAGTCATTGACATAAATGATCTGGATGTGAATGTACAAGGCCTGATTAGTAATTTTGCAGATAATACAAAATTAGGAGGTATCGTTGATAGCAAGGAAGGTTATCAAAAATTACAGAGGCATCATGATCAGATGGGGAAGTGGGCTGAGGATTGACAAATGTATTTCAATACAGATAAGTGTGAGGTGTTGCATTTTGGGAAGTCAAACCAAGGTAGGACTTATACAGTAAATGGTAACGTCCTGAGGAGTGATGTGGAACAGAGAGACCTAGGAGTACAAGTACATAGTTCATTGAAAGCTGTGTCACAGACAGGGTGGCGAAGGAGGCGTTTGACATGCTGGCCTTCAGCGGTTGAGGCGTTGAGTATTGGAGTTTGGACGTGATGTTACAGTTGTATAAGTTGTTGGTGAGGCTGCACTTGGAGTATTGCGTACAGTTTTGGTCACCCTGTTATAGGAAAGACATAGTTAAACTGGAAAGTGTGCAAAGAAGACTTACAAGGATATTGCCAGGACTAGTAGGCCTGAGCTATAGGGAGCCGTTGGCCAGGATGGGACTTTATTCCTTGGAATGTAGGAGGATGAAGGGTGACCTTGTTGAGGTGTATAAAATCATGAGGGGCATAGATAGGATGAATGCATATAGTCTTTTTCCCAGGGATGGGAAATTGAAAACCAGAAGGTTTAAGGCGAGAGGGGAGAGATTTAAAAAGAGAGTGATGCATATATGGAATGGGTGTCAGAAAGTGGTTGAGACAAGTACAATAGCACCATTTTTAAAAAATTTGGATAGGTGCGTGGATGGGAGGGGTTTAGAGATATATGGACCAAATGCAGGCAATTAGAACGAGCTGAGTGGGCACCATGGTAAGCATGGACCCGTTTGGGCCAAAAGGCCTGTTTCCATCCTGAGTCACATGTCAGGTGAGGATGGCAGATTTCCTTCCCCAAAGGACATTAGTGAGCCAGATGGGTATTGTTGACAATGGTTTCATGATCATCAGTAGATCTTTAATTCCAAATTTTTTTTTCATTGCATTCAAATTCCACCATCTGCCATGATGGGATTCAAACCAGTGTCCTTAGAACATTAGCTGAATTTCTGGATTAGTAGTCTAGTGATAATACCACTAAGCCATCACCTCCCTGCCTCCCATTGCCATGGTAGAGATCATGAATTTAGAAGCTGCTGTCAAGGTAGGCCTGGGGAGTTACTAGAGTGCATCCTGTAGATAGTATGCGCTTCTTAGACCATGTGGCGGTGATGGAAAGATTGAATGATGAATGTGGGGAATGGTGTGCCAATCAAGCGAGTTGCTTGATCTTCGATGGTGTCAGGCTTCTTGAATATTGTTGGAGCTGAATGTGTCTGGGCTCATGAAGAGTATTCCATCACACTCCTGACTAATGCCTTGTCGAGCTTTGAGCATACCTCTGACCTGCTCAGTTTTAGAGGCAGAAAAAATATTCAGGAGGAAATTGAATTATTATCGGAGAATGAGGAATCTTCAAGGCAATGGGGAGTTAGTGTGCAGTGGCATAAGGCCAATTGCTTCTTCAGGGATCCAGCACAGACATGATGGATTGAATGGCCTATGTTGTAACCATTTTGTAATTCTGTCTGTGAGGATTGCATATGTAGAGCCATAGAGTAGAGCCATGCAGCATGGAAACGGGCCTTACGACCCAAACTGGTCCATGCTGACCATGGTGCCCACTCAGCTAGTTCCAATTGCCTGCATTTGGTCCATATATCTCTAAACCCTTCTCATCCATGTACCTATCCAAATGTTTTTTAAATGTTGCTATTGTACCTGCCTCAACCACTTTCTCCAGCAGTCCATTCCATATATGCACCACTCTCTGCATGAAGAAGTTGCTGCTCAGGTCCTTCTTAAATCTATCCCCTCTCACCTTAAACCTATGCCCTCCAGTTTTCAGTTCCCTATCTCTGGGAAAAAGGCTACATACATTCATCCTAAATATGCCCCTCGCAATTTTATACACCTCAATAAGGTCACTCCTCATTCTCCTACATTATGAAGTCCTATCCTGGCCAACCTCTCCCTATAACTCAGGCCTACAAGCCCTGGCAACATGCTAGTAAATCATCTTTGTGCACTTTTCAGTTTAACTATGTCTTTCCTATAACAGGGTGACCAAAACTCTACACAATAAACATCTTGTATTTCAAACAGCTACAGATACTTCACACACTCAATAGTTCAGGAGGCAAGGGATAAAGGCACAACAAAATGAAAAGAACAGATATGATGCTGCAAAATGATAACACTGTAAAGTCCATTTCAAAATAATTTTACATCTGTAAAGGTCACTTAAAAGCTTATGATTATTTGGTACTGCCATAGGACTCTAAATACTTCCAACATTGAAGAAAATGTCTTTCCTAAATCAAATCTAATGTGATGACAGAATCACAAAGTCAAGAAAAGATTTTAAAGCAGGCTTTTTGAATAGTTTGGGAGGATAAACTGCTCCTCAGTGACATGGGTAATGTATCAACCAGATTGGCATTGTGACAAGTGGTAAGAAAATTAACAATGGGAAAACCTACTTGACCTCATCCTCATCAAACAACCCATCACGGATGCATTTGTTCATTACATTGCCTCTTTAAGTTACAGCTGCATAATCCATGTGGAGAGGAAGACTTGTCTTCACGTTGATGGCAGCCATGTTATGTGATCTAAACATCATATTAATGGGTTAGATTCAGATCAAAAGTATCATAAGGCACTTTTAGCCAGAAGCAGAATTATACATCATCTCAGTCATTAAGCATCATTCAGTCACTCAAACATTATAGTCAAGGCAGGGATCATATCGAGAATCCCAGCCCTGCAGGTAATCCCTCCTTCCCCCAGTGAGAAGGTTTGGAGTAGGGTAAAATTAACCATACGCCCATCACCACTTCTGATGGTGTAAGCTAGCCTCAAGGACTGCGTCTCCTCTGTGCTCACTGATGTTCACTGGCTCCCAGTCTAGTAATGTCTCAATTTTATTATTCTTGCTGTAACATTCAAATGACTTTGGGGCCTCAGCCCCTCTCTATCTCTTTAATCTTTTCTGACCCTTCAGGTTCAATTGAATTGCTCCACCATCAGCAGCCTGCTTGAACCCTCCAAATCAACATCTTTGACCATGCTTTGGCCATATATCCTAATATCTCTTTCTGTACCTCAGCGTCCTGTTTTGTTTGGTAATCACGGTGGTTACATGTCTTGGAATGTTTTTGCTAGATTAACTGGAAATTTAAAATAACCTACCCCCGCAAGCTGGGCACACTCAATTGTTGCTGAAATTCAAGGAATAGATTTCTGAGAATGAAAGAAGTGAAGGATAATATAGGAACATGTATTGAGGTAGAAGATGAGCCATGATCGAACTGAATGGTGGAGTGGACTCTAGGGGGCCTCCTGCTCCTATTTATGTTTCTTAAAGATGCGTGTTGTTGTTTGAGAGAACGGTTGTGAACCCATGCAGGTTTAAAAGTGTCCTAAAGTTTTCTATTTCATTCACCCCTCCTAAAACAGAAGCATATGCTGAAAGAGGGCAAAGGTCGAATGCTGCAAGCAATAACCCCAAAGCAGAGTCCGAGCAACAGTCCAGTCCGGGAGCGTTCCCCGTCGCCCACCTTCCGATGGCCGTTCTCCAAGACCTCCCCGCCATGCTCACCAAAACCAGAGTCGGACGCGGCTGGCTACGCCATCAGCGACGACGATTCAGAGTAAAGGTCTCTCTCTGTCTCTCCCGGAGTCTTCATTTCACCCTCAACACCTGTCTCCTCCAGTTCTGTCTATTGATTGCCAGTGATCCACGAGGACTGCAGGCTCGAGGCAAGTGTCACTCTCCAATACGTGTACACAGAAAAGAAGTTCACACAAATAGGGTCAAGTTGGACTTTGGAATTAAAACATTAAAAACAAAATAATTTTCCACAGGGAAACAGCTTGAACGATGTAAACTTTTTTTTCTTTTTAGCAAATTAAACTAATTTAAAAGAATCACTGTAAAGATCATGAGGGAAAATGGCTTTCTTTTATATTTAAGGCCTAGTGTTGTATCTGAGTATCTGCACGTCAAAATGTAATGTGTGTTTCTAATGTGAGAGGCTGGAAACGCATGCTTGCCTCAATTTGGTGGCCAAAAGACTGTGGTGGGGTAGTGGATTGTGCTTGTATCTGTTCTTGGGCTTTCCCATGCTACTTCCATTCAGCTGAACAGTATTCCCCAGTGAGAATAGTGTTGTAATTTGCCAGTTAGTTGCATCCCCAACTTCACCAATCTCCAGATTTGAAATCTCACCTCCCACTCTGTCTTGTGTCCAATCTCAGCGAACTGGTTCAGTCAGCTTCTGCAGCCTCCATTGAACCCAAGAGGGTCATTGGAACAAGGATGTGATCAGTTCAGTCCTGCAGCCATGGAATGCGATGCACTGGAGGAGATGAGACAGAACTGGGATGTTGGATATACCCACAATGCCATCTGCTGCAAATTTACAAGAGGTGGTTTAATGACCACTTTTTCCGTATGCAACAGTTGAGATTCCCTTCCTGTGAGCCTTCTTATAGTTTGTTTTGTGCGTAAGTACAGACAGTGATTCTGACTGGTGACAAGGTGGTGATCCGGGCTGCCGCATGTCAAGCACGCACTGTCTAATAGGTAAAAAGATTTGTGTACAACCCAGGGCTGGGGAGCTGTGGATGAACTGGGCGCTTTCCATTTCTAGCGGAGCTTGCACTATTTGCGTGGCAGGAAGTCTGTGCTGTAAATCACTGCCATCAACCAGTTTCTCTGGCACTTGACAGTTTGAACATGTTGGTGTATAATCGGTTGTTTTTGCACTTGGAAAGCTCAGACAACTCTTGAGATGAAGCCCCTGTGGGATTTCACTCCCGTTCCGTACACTTGGGAAGAAAAGAGTTTGTAATCTTTTCGATGACTGTCCTGCAGTAGGACAATGAATTTAAGGACTGAATCGAAATATTCTTTGGAATCCCACTGCTTGAGATTGGTGCGTGTGTTGTACTTGTCTGCACACTGCTCATGGACAAGGATATGTGGGAGTGTGTTCCCTGCCTGTGCTATACTTTGCTTTCTGGATGCACACTTGTGCATGTTTGCCGGAGAATGTCAGTGTTTGTGTACAGACTGGTACCAAACATTCTGTATTCATCCACCCTCTTTGCAGGAGTTAATTTAAGGAATGACATTGAAATAAATAATTAAGGATAAACACCTTGTAAGTGCAAAGCAGGACCAGCCAGTCCTTAAAGAGACCAGGATGATGTTTTAGACATAGGTAGCTCCTTTATCAGAGCTGCCTGTGTTTAACTAAAGCTGTCAATTCTCTCTCTCTCTCCCCCCTCCCTTTTCACCCCACTACCCCACCCCCCACCCACTTCCCTATCCCTACCAATTTTGACTGATGTGCATTTTTCCAGAAGGTCCTCCATTCAGATTTGTTTTTTAATAAAAACGCATTGTCAGAAGTACAAGTTGTGACCACAGATCATTCAATTCCAAACTAGCGAGCCAAGGGCATACCAGTCATGAATGCTTTCTTTTCTTTATTCACTCTCAGGATGTGGGCATCATTGGTGAAGACCTATCCCTATAATTGCCTGCAGAAGGTGGTGGCAAGCTGCCTCTTGAACCACTTCAATCCATGCAGTGTACCCACAGAGCCTTTGGGGAAGGAATTCCTGAATTTTGATCCTTAACACTGAAGGAGTGGTGATATTGTTCCACTTTAGAATAACATAATTTGGAGGGGAACCTACAGCTGGTGGTAATCATGGGTTCGGAAGGTGCTGTCTAAGGAGTCTTGGTGTGTTGCTGCAGTTTATCTTGTAGATGGTACACACTGCAGCCAATGTGCATTGCAGATGGAGGAAGTGAATGTTTACAGTGGTGGATGGGCTGCCTTTTTGCTGAATGGTGTTGAGCTTCTGTGTTGGCACTGCATTTATCCAGGCAAATAGAAAGTTTTACCCCAAGGTCTTCACAGTTTCCACTGTCCTTCAGCAATGTTTTGATGTCACATAAAACTAATAATTAAATTGTCTGATGACTGGCTTCTGTGGTGCTGTGGCCTCAGGAGAAGACCAAGGTGGATCAGTGACTAAATACTTCTGACTGAATGTGGTAACTAACACTAAGAATGTGGAACTTATAGTCTGGTCTCTGCCATCATTAAGGATGGGGTGCTCATGAGCCTTCTCCTCTTGTTGGTTACATTTCCATCCCCATTCACGACTGCAATACAGAGCTTTGATCTGAATTATTAACTGTGGGATCACTGAGCTCTGTCTACAATGTTCTATACCATTATTAAATGCATGCCTTCGTGTTTTGTAACTTCACCAGGTTGAAGTAAAGGATACATTGGGCATGAGGTTACAGATTGTGAGTGATAGCCCATGATGCCTCATTGCTGCTGTCTTTTGAGTTGCTAAGTTTGCTCTGAATCTTATTTCCTTCAGCAATGTAGTAGTCCCGCACAATGTGATGGCTGTTATTCTGTTTGGTGGTCAGTCCTACTTATATTATCACGGACGGGTACATCCATGAGGGTGAGAGAAAACAGTTTGTTTTGCCTTTGTTAGCTCTCTCACCACCCGTTACAGGTGCAGTTTAGCAGTTATAAGCTTCAGGACTTGGCCAGCTCGGTCAGTGGTGGTACTGCTGAGCTACAAGGCTCCTTTCATAAAATCTTCCAAACCTACAACCTCTACCATCTAGAAGGACGGGGACATGGGGTACATGGGAACACCACCACCACCACCTATTAGTTCCCTTCCAAGCTATTCAGCATCCTGACACAGGAAATATACCACCGTTCCTTCAGTGTCAGTGGGTCAAAATCCTGGAACTCCCTCCATTAAAGCAGCATTGTTGGTGTACTATACCTCAAGGATAGCAGCGGTTTAAGAAGGCAGATCACCATCACCTTCTCAAGTGGAATGTGGGCAATTAAAACTGGCTTAGCTTGTGAAGCACACATCCCATGAATGAATAGAAAAGAAAATTGAAGTCCCCTAACTAGAGCCCATTCTGTGTTCTTGCCACACTTCTTTTTCTTGATGTGGAGGAATCCTGATTTGTTGCTGACCGAGCAGTAATTAGCAAGAGCTTCCCTTGTCCACCTTCGACCTGATGCAGTGAGACTTCAAGGAGTGTGGGATTAATGTTGAGGACACTAGGGCCACTCTTGATTGTATACTGTGCCTCCAAGACTTCTCTTCATTCTCAATGCCTTTACCTCTGGTATTACCCGAGGATTTGTCATTAACCTCCATCTGTTTCTCATCTACAGGCTGCTCTTAGCTCCTGTGAAGCACATTGGGACATTTGATTTTATCATCCAAACAGTGTGGCAGCTACCACATATATATTGATGACACCCAGCTCTACCTCACCACCACTTGTCTTGACCCCTCCATAATCTCTACATTATTGGACTATTTGTCCCACATCCTCCAAATAAATATTAACAAGACCAAAGCCATTGTCTTTACTTCCTGCCACAAACTCTGCTCTCTAGCTAATGACTCCATCTATATCGCTGGTAATTGCCAAGGACTAAATCAGGCAATTTGTGACCATGCTGTGTCATCTGACCCTGTGCTGAGCAACTGACTGTATATCTGCCTCATTAATGCATCCTCATAGTTCCACCTCTAACATTACATGACTGTCCTTAACTCATCTCATCCACTGCTGAAATCCTCATTCACACCTGACTTCTCCAGTGCTGTCTTGGCCAACCTCTGTCTTCTGCGCTTCACAAACTTAAGGTGATCGTCAACTCTGCTGCCTGTATCCTAAGTAGCATTAACTGCACACAACCCTACCCCCCTCCCACCATGCTGTCATCCACTCTGCACTCACTGACACACATTAGCACCCAGTCAAGCAACGCAATGATTTTAAAATTGTTATCTTTGTCTTTGAATCCTTCCATAGGTCTATAAACTCCACCAGCCCTATAACCCTCAGATCACGGTCATTCGAGTCATTCTCACTCCTTGAGCATCTCCAATTGCAATTTCTTCACCATTGGTGGCTGTGCCTTCACGTGCCTGACCTGAACCCTGGAATTCCCTTCTCTACCTCTATATCCCTTTTTAAAATGCTCCTTACAATCTACCTCTTTGATTGGGTTTTTGAACATCTGTCCTTGTATTTCTTACATAACTCAGTGTTAAATGCCTGTTAAAAATGTCCTATGGAGCAAGACGTAACTAGGGAAAGTTACAACAGGAGTCTTGCATGTTAACTGGAAGGTAGGTATCTGTGGGTGTGATCTCTTCAGACTGTAACTTGGCTAGTCTGTGGGATCACTATCCTGATCTTCACAGATGTTAGCAAGGAGGACGCAGTTTGTGCAGTTTGATGGTAAGCTATTTGTCCCATTGCTGCAGCATTGCTTTTGGTAGCTATCTTGATAGCCAAATGGTTTGCTCGGCCATTTCAGAGGGCACTTGAGAGTTAGCCACATTGCTGTGAGTCCAGAGTCGGATGTAGGCAGGACCAGGTAAGGATGACAGATTTCCTTCCCTAAAGGACATTCATGAACCGGATAGGTTTTTAATGACAATCCGGTGGTAGTTGATGGCTTCTTATTTTAGTTCTCCAGCTCTCTCGAAATTTGAATTCATGCCACTCTCATTACATCAGGCTTCTGGATCACTAATGCAATGACATATAAACCACTATGTGTGGTTGCCCTAATTGCAGGACAGGAGAAGTTAGATTGTTGTCCTGTCCGCTGGGCTGTGTCTGTATCGTTTTTCAGTTTTGTAGAAGTTATGACAGCTTTATTTTATAGTAAGATCATAAGGCTTTTTGATATCACCAGCACTATAAATGAGGTGAATTCCACGTGCTATCTGACTGTTATTCTATTGCACATTGTACAGTAATAGTAATGGATTGGGCTGCACTGAAATCTGCATTTCTGTGTCATCTCGGTCTTAGTTTTTGAAGAATGCTTTAAAAAATAGCATGTGCGTTTATATAGGGCCCTTCATGACCCTGGGATGTCCGAAAGCCCATGGCATGCCAATCAAGGGGTTTACGGAGTTCAGTCACTGTGTTGTAATGTGAGGAGACAGGAGGGCATTGCCAAACCCCAGGCTGTCTGCAGTTTCCACTGCCTCAATGCTGCCTCAGTGCTGAAGCCGGAGATGCAAGGAACCAAGCTTGTTGCAGTTTGGGTTAGAGCCAGAAGGACACTTGTCTGGTAATTGAGTTGGGAAGGTGCCCCTTTGAGGGGAAGTGGGCTTGCTGGCTGCAAGAGCCCTCAAATTGGGAACGATGACCACTGCTTATTGAGTAAGCACCACACCCACATTCTCCCTGCTCACTGGGAGTTACCAGGACCGTTCCCCAGGAAGGCATGACACCGGAAATCTGGTGGCAATGGCTTCAAAAGTGTTAGCTTTGCAACCTCCAGTTCGCTCACAGCAATGTGTGTCAGATTGACCCCTGACCCTCAAACTTCACATCTGTAAAATGATAAGATACAGGAGCAGAAGGAGGCCATTCAGCCCATTGGGTCTGCTGTGCCATTCAGTGTTATTATGGCCAATCTCTGAGAATGGATCTAAAGTGTGGGGGGTGTTGGGGAAGGTGGGGTGTGTGACTTGCTATTTCAGTCAAATCAGGAATAGCCAAACTCTACAAGCGTTTCCTTGACTGTTGGGTGAAAGATGGAGTGCAGAACTATTTCTGTCTTGGTGTTGTATTTTTAAAAATCCATATGTTATTTATGCAATACAATGTTCCTGTGGGCAATCCTTGTGAATCATTTAAATTTATACATTTGAAAAAAGATTAAATCTTAGACGTTTTGTTAAACTTGGGTGTTTGGGGACACAGGGAGGTTAAATTAACAATAGTTGAAATGCAAGGTGCTATAAGATCGGCTTTGAGCTGAGATTTTTAATAGAGATGCATGTTGTTGATAAGTGGATTCTGTGCTGATCTTTTAATCAACTTACAGCTGTTAAACAGTGGAAAATTGTCTGATTAAACAGCATTAAAATAAAACTCCGTCTGGTGTCCTTTTTTCCCTCTTTGTCGAATTGGCGCCTCTTCCTCTAGCGTAAGAGTTTTCTGCCCCCCCCCACTTCTCAGTAGAACTTGAGATTTGCTTGAGTTACGAAACCTTAGGCACTGCATTGCCAATTGCTTAAGGTGTGAATCTACTCCACTTTACTGCAGCTAATTGTCAGCACACTGCTTGATCACGATGGGATGAATGAAGTATTCCAGTTCTGTTCCCTTCCTCTACCTAAGGAACGTTGACAGCAACAGTCACTGATGATGAGGACAATCTTGGCTAGATTTTCACTTCATCCATTCCTGTACATCCAGAGGAACTGAGACTTGATCCACCTCTGTCTTGAACATTTTCAAAGACTCGGTTTCTGCTACCTTTTCAGCAGGAGGCTTCCAAAGCACCTTGACACTCTGCGGAGGCAGGGGGAGCAATTGTCATCTCTGTCTTAAATGGGTAAACCTTATTTTTAAACAGTGACTCCTAGATCTAGATTCTCAGTCAAGGTTTGAAGTTCAGATGAATGAAACGTGGACTCATGAAACTCAAGATGTAGAGAATGAGCAAAAAGATGTATGCAGTTTCAACCCTGGTTAGAAAATCTCAGATGAGAGAGCATTGTCTCAGAATAAGGGTTCAACCACTTTGGACTGAGATGAAGTGTGTCTCCACTCCATAGGTTTAATCATAGCGAGCACCTTTTGTTCCTCTAATTGCTACCCTGGGCTCTGCAACCATAATCAAATAGTCCTGAAAGGTTGCAATGATATTGGCATCAAATGTTGGCATTTGTGAGCCAGGAAATAGAATGAAAGGGAAGAGACAGAACTTCCATTTTGACAGCATGGAATAGTGCATCGTGACCTTGATGACCAGTCACCTGACCTTGATTTCAAAATCACAGGATTCAGGAATTTGAAAAAATCTGCATTTTTCACCTAAAGATCATAAGATACAGGAGGAGAATGGGCCATTTGGCCTATCGAGCCTGCGCTGCTATTGAGTGAGATCATGGCTGACCTGATAATCTTCAACTGCACATTCCTGCCTTTTCGCCATAATTCTTGATTCCCTTATGATTAAAATTCTACTAAGGGCTGCACAAGAGGTAAGGCATTTGTACTACATTGGTCACATCTTTATCCTTCTTATAATGAAATAATTTTGAAAGGCTTTTATGTTGGCAAACCATTCTGCTCAGCGAAATCATGGTGGTTGAGTTGGGGTTTCTTTTAAAGGTGATATGGAATGCAGTGCCTGAAAGTGGCATATTCAGTGATCACTTTAAAAGGGGAATTAGCCAAATACTTAAAGGAAGGAGTGGAATGGAAAATGCTGGACTGTGAGGAAAGAGCAGGTGGAGGAACATTGTGTGGAGTCAGAAAGACTGCAGCGAACTGCATTCCTTTTACAAGGAGTTGTTACAGGCACAATGGACTGAATGGTCTCCTGATGTTCTGTGAGGATGTTTCGGGGTTTACGCTGAACACAGGATGAGGAGCAAAAAGAAAAAAGAACCATCTGCAGGATGGCACCTTGACAGATCAGCAGTCTCTCAGTGGGCAGTGTCAACCTAGGCAATGTGCCCAAGTATCTGGAGCAGGGTTTGACTCCATACAACCTTCTGAATCGAGTCCGTGTGGGGGATAGGGCTTAGGGAAGAGGTCAGACTTAAAAGGCTGCTTCATGTAAAGTCGTAATTTTAAACTAATTTTTTTTGTTTAATTGTTCCATATCATCAATGCCTCCTGGTTATTTTGCTGGTTTACAGAAGACATTATCTATCCTAAACCTCCAGGTGGGGTAGTGACCTAGTTTGTTAGAACACTCTGTTGGCATTCTCTCTTCTCTTTGCCTTGGGATTCAACCGTGTCGCATGCTCTGTATCCCGGCTGATCATCCTGCTTCCTGTACGATGTTCGTGTAAGCATTCCGACAAAGAACATCTCTATGATTAGGAGCTGGTTGTTCATGACTGTGAAGGAAGAGAGAGTTCCAGGATTAATATCTCTTGCAAAGTGGAAAAATAGCCTAGTGTTTAAGATGTTTTGGAACAGGATGTGGTCATTCAGCCCCTTGATCATGGCTCGTCAATATCTTAACTCCACCCCGCATTTACTCAAAACCCATAATCCACTTACCCAACAAGATCAAGAATTGGAGTTCCTATCTGGAGGAAACAACTTCTCTCTGTCCAGATGGTATTGTATTGGAAATTTCAGAAGCCCTGGCTAATGCTATGCGGGGCAGGGGTTCATATCCCACAGTGCTCAGTGGAATTTAAAATTGAATAAGATCTGGATCTACTTTCTGAAATGGTGACCATGAAACTATCATTCTTTGTTGTAAAAGGACCCACTTGGTCGCTTGAGTCCAATGGCTCCTTTGGAAGAAGAGTAAATGAACTCAAAACATTAACTCTTGTGCCTGTCTCCAAAGATGCTACCACACTTTGTTTCATTTCAGATCTCCAGCATCCAAGATCTTTTGCTTTCATCTCGGTTTGGTCATTTTTTTTTTTGGTGGAGGGAAATCACCATCCTCACCTGGTCTGGCCAACATGTGAACCAAGATCCACAGCAACATTGTTGCCTCTTACCTACCTGCTGAAATGGCCCTAGCAAGCCTCTCTATTAGAGATGGGCAATGAATATTGGCTTCGCCAACAATGCCCACATACATGAAAGAGTAAAGAAAAAAGTAAAGGAGCTCCTTTGATCATCTTTTAAACAGCTTACTGGAGCAACCTTATTCCTGAACCCTTTTAGTACAGGTAGATTTCTCTGCTGCATCCCTGACAACGCCACAATCTCCAAGCTGAGGTATGGAGCTGCAGAACTGAACCCAAACTCCAGGTGGGGTCTAATCAGAATACTGGGTAGCTATATTTAAGCCCCCTTGAGATAAAAGCTAATATTTCATTCTACTTTTTAATTTAATAGGTTTGATGACATCCATAATCCTCTGCAGGAAGTCATTAATGCATTTTGGAAAAGTAAAGTCTCAGGAATATGTTTGACCCGGAGATGGTTTGCTGTTCTGCTTTACTGCAATCGTTATGTGCTTAACAGACAACGTAATTAATTCTGGGGAGTGAAATTTAGTCCAAGCAGTCCCAGTCAGCATGGGAAGGTGTAGAGTAAATATCTTACACTCTCACTCTCAGATCTCAATACAGCTGTGGCACTTCCTTCATTCCATCTACCCTCCTGATTAAAATAGTTGAAGAGTTTGCCAGGGTTCGTGGATAGAACTATTTCCTCTGGTCAGAGAATCAAGAAGCTTAAAGAACTCGGCCACAGGGGTGGTAATGGCGAGAAAACATTTCTCCATACAAAGGGTATTGGGAGTCAGGAACTTCCTCACTGTTTCTCTCCTTCCCCCAAAAACCTGCAGTTTGGGGGTCAGTTAAAAATTCCTAAACAGTTTTTTGTTGGTTGAGAGTGTTAATAGTGGGTAAATATATAGAAGGTTTAGATCAGCGATTGATCTAAAGGAATGGCCTCTTCTTGTTTATAACTCACCCGTTTTCTAATATTGCAGGCAGCTACCTGTTGAGGTTCCATCAATATAATGGGCTGTTGAACGCGCTGAGCAATTGGGAGCAGAATGCATTCCAGATTTGTACCCCTGCTCTTTGCTCCAATAACTTTGGTTTCAATTTAGCAGGGATATGACTGTCCTCAACCCCTGGGTTGGAGATTTGTGAGAAGCTGTGTGTGTTGGGGAGTGGAGAGACGATATTGTAGGAGAGGAGTGTCAGCATAAAGGGGGTTGGAGTCAGCATATTGTACATTCCTTTGAATATGGCCTGGAACCAGTGGGTAGGAGTTTTCCTGTGGGAATGATCAAAAGAGCAAGAATGTTCCTGCATCAGTCCCCATCATCATTGAAAAGCAAACCAGAGATGAATGGGGTGAATCACCACTTGGAAGAAATGGATTGTTATTAGACAGTGGGAGATCATGAAGGAATAAAATAATTCTCTAAAGAGACATGATTTTAGTCTTGGTGTGTAAGTGACCCTGACAAGAACAGCATTAATTAATTAATCGCTCATTCCTAACTAAGGTGTGCCATCTTCTTGAATGGTCATGGACATTTACAGCAGCAAAGGAAGCCATTTAGCCCATAATTCCTGAGCTGGTCATCAAAGATCTGACTGCACTAATCCCAATTTCTATCTGTTGGCCCATAGCCCTGGACACTATGGCATTGCAGGAGTCTCTGACTCAACCACTTTCAGACAGTGATTTTCAGACTCCGACCACCCTCCAATTGAACAATATTCTCCTCAGTTCTCCTTTTGGTTTAATCTATTGGTAATTGAGCTCTCTACTAGGGGAAAAAATCATTACAGAGAGAAGTTGAGGTTCTGTCATGGCTGCAAGAGACTGGATTTGTGTTTTTACTACAGTCCGACTGCATCAACATCACTTACACTGAGACTAGCATTTTGTGGCCTTATTTCTGGAGGATTTTAACTCCTGTTATTATTCATCTGGCAATAACTGCCAACTGCTAAGGCTATTGATGCTTGGGTGGGGAGGTTGTTAGAGTCGTAGAGTCATAGAGCATGGAAACAGACACTTCAGCCCAACTTGTCTATGCTTGACCAAATTTCCAAAACTAAATTAATCCCATTTGCCTGCATTTGGCCCATATCCCTCTAAACCTTTCCTATTTATATAGCTGTCCAAATGTCTTCTAAGCGTTGTAACTGTACCTGCATCTACTGCATCTACCACTTCCTCTGGCAGTTTAGTCTACATTCAAGCCACCCTCTGTGTGAAAAAGTTGCCCCTCAGGTCCTTTTTAAATCTTTCACTTTAAACTTATGCCCTCTAGTTTTGGATTACCTCAACCTAGGAAAAAGACCTTGGCTATTCACCTTATCTATGCCCCTCATGATTTTATATACCGCTATAAGGCCACCCCTCAGTCTCCAACGCTCCAGGGAAAAAAAGTCCCAGTCTATTCAGCCTCTGCTTGAACAAGATTTGACACCAAACTGGACAAGATATTAGGACAGGTGACCAAAAGCATAGGTTTTTGGGTTTGTTTTAAAGGAGGACAGAGGTGAAGAGGTTTAAGGAGAGAGTATCGTACCTTAGGACCCAGATAACTGAAACCACAGCTGCTAATAGTGGAATGATTAAAATCAAAGATATATAAGGGTTAAGAATTGGAGGTGTGCTGCCGTTCGGAGGATTGAGAGGCTAAAGGAAGTTTAAGTTGGGAGAAGCAAGGCCATGAAGGGATTTGAGAGCCAGGAGCAATTTTAGATGAACGTATTGGTGGTGTGGCCAAGCATTGTACTCAGTGAACACATGGCATAATGCGTGACTGGGAGTTAATAACCTACCAACTGTGTTCCCAATCTGCTGAAAGATGAAGTTTAGGGTCGTCAATCCCTCCCACCTCCCCCCAGCCCCAGCTGATTCCCACCACTCTCCCAGCTCCATGCTCTATTCCAGATTGGAGTTACATACGTTGCCCTCTGGTCTTTGCAGAGTAGGGGGGTGAACAGCTGATGTGTCCAGCTCTCGCCAGTGTTCCAATGATAGAATTCTGTAGCGAGGACAGGATCAATATTGCCTGTGAAAGGTGAGAAAGGGAAAGCGTGTGAGAAAGTTAGTTTGGAGTTCCTCGTTGTTTTTGCATTCTACCATTATGTCCAGGAATGGTAGTCAGTTGTTGTTGTCTTCTTCTTATGTACATAGCGTATGTAGAAAGACCACACAAATGGATCAGATACTCCATTACACCAGCAACCACCCCGACGCCCACAAATGGAGCCGCATCAGAACACTATTTAACAAAGCCACAACACATTGCAGTGACTCAGAACCACACAAAGCAGAACAAGATCACTTATACGGAGTCTTCATAAGGAATGGATACCCGAAAAGCACAATCCACCGTTACCTCCGCGACAGACTACAAGAAGACGCAACATGACCAGAATCACTTATCACCCTACCATACATCAGAGACATGTCAGAGATGACTACAAGACCACTCAGACCCCTAAGTATCAGAGTAGCCCACAAACTGACAACCACCCTGCAACAGCTACTGAAAAGGATCCCATACCCAAAACCAGCAGAACCAGTGTAATATACGAAATACCATGCAAGGACTGTGAGAAACACTACATAGGCCAGACTGGAAGAAAATTGACTATACAGATACATAAACACCAACTAGCCACCAAGAGACATGACCAATTCTCACTTGTCTCACTACACACAGACAACAAGGGACACAAATTCGACTGGGACAACACATCCATAATCTTACAAGCCAAACAGAGACACGCCAGGGAATTCCTGGAGGCCTGATATTCTAACCGGAACTCCCATCAACGTACACATTGAGTTAGACCCGGTGTACAATCCACTGAGAAACAGAACCGGAAATGGTACCAAACACCCCAACAAGCTGAGGCATATAAATAACAAGCGGGACAGAACCACCAACGCTTCACCAGAGATGCACTGACAATATTACCTAGCAGGGTGATAAAGCATTTGCAACCAAACCCACCGGCTCGGCGAGCATGTTTACAACCTCATTTACAACTGAGCTACAAACCTCAACGTGGTTTTAATGGAGATCTTGTGATGCAGTGGGTAATGTCCCTGCCTCAGAGTCAAAAGCCCACCTGTATTCAACTCCAACTCGAGGACACCAGTTTTGGTCTCCTTACTTGGGAAAGGATGTACTGGCACTGGGGGCGATGGCTGGGAGTGCAGAGCAGGTTCACTAGTTTGATTCCGGAGTTGAGAGAGTTGGCTTATGATGAGAGATTGAGTAGACTGGTACTATACTCATTGGAATTTAGAAGAATGATTGAGATCTTATAGAAACATATTAAATTATGAAGGGAATAGAAGAAAGAAGCAGGGAAGTAGTTTCCACTGGCAGGAGAAACAGGAACTGGAAGGCATAGCCTTAAAATAAGGGGGAGCAGATTTAGGACTGAGTTGAGGAGGAACATCTTCACCCAAAGGGTTGTGAATCTGGAATTCCTGCCCATGATGCAGTTGAGGCTACTTTGTTGTTTTTAGGGCAAAGATAGATTTTTGAATAGTAAAGGGATTAAGGGTTATGGTGAGTGGACGGGTAAGTGGAGATGAATCTACAAAAAGATAAGCCATGATTTAATTAAATGGCAGAGCAGGCTTGATGGGCGAAATGGTCTACTCCTGCTCCTATTTTTTATGTTCTTATGACTTCACAGCCAGGGAAGGCGCATTCTTAGTACAGCCAAATCGGTTTGGATTCAACTTATTGAACCTAATGTACACGAAAGGTTAGTTGTAACTGTGATGGCAAAATCATTGGAGCCTTTACTGTCACTCCATAGCTCCAGACTACAAAACACGTGAAAGTACATGTTTTGACATGAGCCTTAGCTACCTAAGTAAACTATAACACGGCACCTGCTTTTCAGTTCTCTCCTTCTGGAAAGAAACTTCAGATTTTGCTTTATAATGGTCTTATTAACTGTTGCTGCTATCAGTGATTTGGGATACTGAGCCCCTAGATCCCTCTGCTTCTCTCTATCCCACTTTCGAGCAGTTTGTAACCTTATTCTTTGAGAAAAACTTACCTCCTGACACTTCTCTCGTCTGACGTTTGTGTCAATTACACACTTATTCTGTACATTTCTTCATGTTCTCCTGTTTGTCTGCCTCATATTCTTCATTTAGTCATTTCCAAGTTTTGAAATACAAATTCTTTACATAAATGGTAAATTACAATATTACCAATGCTGATCCGTGAGGAGCATCACTTCCTACCTTTTGCCATCTGTGCGACCACCTTTAATCTTGATTCTTCGTGTCACATTTAGTAACCAACTTGCTATCCTCATCCATTGACTCCACGTGTCCCAAACTGAGGGTCTACTACATGACCCCATCAAAGGCTTTCTGAAAATCTGAATATATTTCATCTGCAGCATCATTTTATTTGTAGTGATTGTTTCATACTTCCGTAGCTGTGTTCCTTGACTATTTGTATGTACCGTTCTATTAACAAGTCTTCCAGTAATGCAGCAATTCATGTCCACACGCAGCAAGACTTGCACTGCTGTCAAACTTTCACTAACAAATGGCAAGTAATGTTTGTGCCACTGAAGTGCAATCTCCAACAAGAGAGAATATAATCTTTGTCTCTGAACATGCAATGGCATTACTGCCTGAAAATCCTCTACTAGCAACATCCTTTTGGCCACCATTGACTAGAAACTGAACTGGACTAGCCATATAAACACCATGGCGACAACAGCAGGTCAGAGGCTAGATATCCTGCAGCAAATAACTCATCTCCTCACTAACTAGAGCCTGTCCACCATCTCAGAGGCACAGGTCAGCAGTGTGATGGAATAGTCCCCACTTGCCTGGGTGAGTGCAGCCCCAACAACCCTCAAGATGTTTGACACCATCCAGGACAAAGCAGCCCACTTGATTGGTACTGTATCCACAAGCATCCACTTCCTCTACCACTGATGCTCAGTAGCAGCGGTATGTACTATCTACAAGATGCACTGAAGAAATTCACTGAAGATCCTCAGATAGCACCTTCCAAACCCATGACCACTTCCATCGTTCACTGTTCCTTCACTGTTGCAGGAATTCCCTGCCTAAGTGCATTGTTGGTCTACCTATAGCACATGGACAAGGTAGCAGCTCACCACCACCCCCTCAAGGGCAACTAGGGATGGGCAATAAATGCTGGCCAATCAGCCGTGTCCATATCCCCGAATGAATTTAAAAAATTGACTGCCCTTGCCAGGAATGCCCAAGTCCCAGGAATGAGTGAAACAATTATTTAGGAAGAAACCCTTGCTCCTTACCTTGTTCTAGACCCTATTCTCACCACTTGTTCATTCCCACTTTGGGCTTATGTTCCATCTGTCAATGATCATCCCCCTGGAACAGCTTGAAGTTGAGACACACTCACCTGAAAAAGTGCAAACTTGGCCTTTAGGTTCTGATCTGTCATGTGCTGTTTAGCCTCTCGGAAGAGGATATTTGTCGGCCAAAGTCCAAGGATTGTGGACACTCCCAGGAACAGGTCGAGCCAGAGATAGATGCTGGTTGAAGATAACTGAGGCAACAATGCAACATGGGAAATAAAGAAGAAAAAGGATGAGAGGTGTGACATGGATGGTTCAAGCCATGGCAGTATCTGAGAATGAAATGTTGCTGTGGAGCACAGTGGAGAAGAGTTCTGCTGGGAGAGTCCTGATCCTGGAAGTACTCAGTATAACTGGGAGAGCATGCAGACAACTGTGTTTTCCTGAGTCTTTATGGTGCAGATGGAGGTCATTTGGACCGTCAATTTCATGCTGGTTTCCTGTAGAACAATTCAGGTAGCCCCATTCCTCTGCTCTATTTGCATTTTGGCAGCAAGGACATTATTTAAATGGACAAAGACTGCAGAAAGCCATAGTGCAAAAAAAAAATTGGCATGTTATTCATAATCTCCTTGTTGACCTACCCCTTTCGTATTTCTGTCTCTGTCTGGGCTATTGCTCAACCTATCACCATCTCCATACTCCTCACCACTGCCTCCCACAAGCCCCCCACCCAACTTCAGCTCCAGCATAAATACTACTTATTCCTAGCTACTAACAGATCTGATGAAGAGTCACCAGGTTTGAAACATTGACTCTTCTGTTTTCCCACAGATGCTGCCAGACCTGTCGGGACTCTCCAGCATTATTCTGTTTTTGTTTCAGAATTTGGGAGTCCTTGCACATAAAACATTAGCATATACATTCAGTAGATAATAGGAACAGGAATAGGCCATTTAGCCCCTTGAGCCTGTTCTACTGTTCAATGAAATTGAGGCCATAGCTTAATTCCATATAACAGCCTTTGGTCCATATCCCTTAATATCTGTATTCGTCCCAGATTTAAAATTAAGTACTGCTGTTTGTGGAAGAGTTCCAAACATCTATCATCCTTTGTGTGTAGAAGTGCTTCCTAACATTGTGGGTCTACCTACAGCACCTGGATAAAGTAGCAGCTCACCACCACCTCCTCAAGGGCATCTAGGGATGGGCACTAAATGTTGGCCAACCTGCGATGCCCACATCCCCGAAAAGCCTATTTTGTCTCTCCTTATCACTTAATCCCTGAAGTCCAGATATCATTCTTGTAAACCTAAATTGTACTCCCTCCAAGACCAATATATTCTTCCAAGTGGGGTCTAACCAGGGAATTGTAGTACTGCAGCATAAAGTCTGCGTCCTTATACTCCAGTCCTCTAGATATGAAGGCCAGCATTTCATTAGCTTTCTTGATTATTTTCTGCACCTGTTTATGACATGTTAAAGATCAATGCACCTGAACTCCCAAATCTCTTTGGTCATCCATTGTATTTAACTTCATACCATCTACCTGATCCATCCTTTTTCGGTCTTTTGCTCACATTGAACTCCATCTGCCCCAGTTTTGCCCATTCACTTAGTCTATCAATATCCCTTTGTAATTTTATGCTATCATCCACATACACTGTCTACAATGCTGCCTAACTTCATGTCATCAGCAATAGATAATAGGGTCAAATACAATCAGATAACAGGAAGGTTAATGGAATGTTGGACATTATTTCAAAGGGTATGAAAATAGGGAATAAAAAGAAACTTGCCATATCTGGCAAGTTAAGTATGGAGAGAAAAACAGATTTAATGTTTGAAGTTCAATTTGGAATGTGGAAGGTTTGTGTCAGACTCAAAACATTAACTCTGTTTCTCTCTGTCTACAGATGCTGTCTGACCTGCTGGCTGTTTCTAGCATTATTTTGTTTTTATTTCAAATTTCCAGCATTTGATTGCTAGTGTTAAAATCAGTCAGAGAGTTGTGAAGAGGAATGCCACATGATAATCCTGGCTGTTGTGGTATCATGGGCACAAAAGCCCTGACTGGGAGCTCAGAGAGTGACAGGATATGCCCACTATCTCCTCCCAGAACTGATTCTGACGTTGGATGTAGAGATGTCCTCTCTTCCTACAGTCTTCCTGCAGCTCGCGTGCAGGCAGGAACTGGGGCTGAGACACATGTCCCAATGAGCAGAGAGGCTGAGTGGAGTGCTACAGAAAGATTTGCATTCTTGTAGTGCCTGTCACCACCTCTGGTTAAGCAAACAAAATGAAGTGTTTTTGAGGAGTTGTCACTGTTGTAGCATAGGAAATACAACAGCCAATTTGTCCACTGCAAACTCTCACAGAACAGCAAGATAGTCATGACCTGATTTTTGTGGAAGATAAATATTGGTCAGGCCATTGGAGATCCTGCAGTTCTTCGACAAAGTGTCCATGGCATGTTTGAATGTTTCCCAGACATGAGCTGGTTTTAGCTTCTCATTGAAAAGTCAGACACAATGAGGTTTTTTTTATCTCACTCACATTATCCGGATCATACAGGCCATTCGTCCATAAAACAATTCCCAGGAAATAAATGACAGGCCGAAGACAAGCCACTTGGAATGATCCCAGCACAAAAATCCTGAATTTCTTCCTAAGCAGATCAAAAGTAAAATAAATTTAGGGTTACTTCACAGGTTTCAGAAACTGGCAAGGATTTTCCGCTAGCACTTGCATTTATGTAGTGCCTTTAACATGGCAAAAGATCCCAAAGCATTTCACAGAAGCCTTATTGAACATTATTTCTCATTGGACCACGTGAGGTGATATCGCGACATGTGACAAAAAGCTTGGTCAAAGAGGGGAAGGAGAACTTTAAAAGCAGAGCGGTTTAGGGAGGGAATCCCAGAGTTCAGTGTTGCAGCAGCTGAGGGTATGGCCTCTAACAGTGCAGTGATTAATACCAGTGAAGCACAAATAACTCCAGCCATGGCTAGGCCCGGGTGCCTGCATCGGTGGCTTCCAAACACCTTTATGGAAATGGGACTAGACTTTAAGATCTGGACTTTTTTTTAACCTGTTGGTATCCTCTTATTTCTCCTGTTGAAATTTTTAAATGCTGGTTTTGAAACCAAGTTGGGGCCGGAGAAAACAAAGTGTAGAGCTGGATGAACACAGCAGGCCAAGCAGCATCAGAGGAGCAGGAAAGCTGATGTTTCGGGCCTAGACCTTTCTTCAGAAA